GCCGATGACGTTGGAGTGGGATTGGGCGGATGTCGGGAGTATGGGTAATGCGTTCATTTTTGGCGATGGTGCGTTTGGGGATGGGATGGATCAGGGGCAGCAATAAGCGGAGGCGGAAGTGGGGGCCGGGGGGTTGGGGGATGCTTTTGTCTGGGCTGTGGCGTTTTTGGGGGGGATGGGGATGGTGGGCTGGATGCGCCCCTTGTGATATCAATGTGCAATGGAATGGAAAGAAGGTTTTTCGCCTCTCGAAGTTTTTGTCCGAAAGCGTGGTGCTTGGTTGTGGTCTTAAAGAGAGTGTAACATTATCATGAGTGATCTGATAAAAGACATGGAAATTGCAATTCAGCTGTCCTGAAGCAGAAGTCGTGGATTTGTTGCGTTCCCGAGATTCGTCAGATTTCCGGTGCAGATGGATTACGGCAGAAGCCATAATCGGGGCGAGGAGGAAAAGGAACCGTGTGCGGTCTGTCGGCCGACGGGCGGTTGCATAACAGGAAAAGCCATTCAATCAATAAGCCACCACCTAGCTGATAACTCTTCGGCTTCAAGAGTCTTAATGTTGTCAGCAGAGAGTTTGGGAACATCAGTTCTTTCAATCGGGACTCCCACGAGCTCGGAGAAATCGTCAATCGTAACCACGTCCACAAACTCGCAAAAGCGACCCCTGTGCCGACCAGCTGGTTCTTGCATGTCCCAGGCCTTGACCAATATCCTCACGATTCCGTGTTCCTCGCCAGGAGAAAGTACAAGCAATTGAGGTCTCTTCCCGGGGATTAACGATGATTCGCTTCTTTGGATTGGACCTATAAGGCCCGCTTGGGTCCACGCATATTTGGAGACGTCGCTGCTCAGAATCTGCCTCCGGAGGTTCAACTCATGTTCGTGCATCATGGCTTTATTCGCACGAACAGGATCCTTGTGTTTGACTGCGATCGTCCAGAGTTTCCCAGCAATGCTGAATGAAACCATGGATAAGTTGGAAGATTCTGAAATCGCAATACTGGTAAGTGCAACAGCTGGGAGGAAGCTCCATATGCCACGTCCCGCCCTGTCCAAAGAAGAAATCGGTCGCGGGATCTCTTTGCCATCGATGTCGACAAGCACTCTTCTAAAAGGATGCTCTACTGTGCCGCCGAAGGCGTTCAAGAAGGATCTGGGTGCCCATCTGAAGCCGGGTGTAGTACAACGCGTGCCAAGTGAGAAGAGGACATTAGACGGGATCGAGGGCAGCTTCTTGAGGAACACTGTCATCCTGTCCTCGGGACGGGCCCTGATTATCTCGAGTGTATCGAAACCAAGAGCTGTACCAATACAAACCAATTCGTCATCCGACCGACTAGTTACACGTTCTGACATTTCGAGAAGCATGCCAGCTGCGTCGGTATCGAAATCCTTGTAGGGCATGGTTCGGTCTATCCAACGCTTCCAACCAAGAAAGCCGCCTCTAAGGAAGCTCCAACTTATATCTGAACGAATTCTTCTGAGGTCATGTACGCAGTCTTTGCCCAAGGCAAATATACGAGGACACAGCACGAATTCTTGGAATGTCCACAATCTTGAGTTATACGCAGACACCTGTAGTCTAAAAGCAATTTCCTCAGGCCTAGCTGTACTTGGAAGGCACCAGACATCTGGATCCAAGACAAGCACTGCCGATGCTTGACCGTAGATGGTTCGCATGTTCTGGATGGAGAAATTCCGCCACTCTTGATTCTCCGGTTCGTTGGGTATACATAGAGTATCCGCCCAAAGCTTGGGTGACCTTTCGGGAGTCTTATCCTCAACATTGATCTGCTCGAATACTGCAGACGTGGCCCTCATGAGGCGCTTGAGTTGACATGTTGTGATAGAGTTATTCTCGTGACAGCCCAATCTATCCACCCATACGTGCGATACCGCCACATAGTCTTGCTTTTTCGCCAAGTCATAGTCACAGTATGTTGGCTCAGCATCTGCAGCGGTAGCCCAGGTCAGGAGAGGAATGTGGTTCCGCACAAGAATATTCACCAGCGTACTGCTTTCGAACTTTCTCATCTTGCACGAGCACGCCTCAGAGACATGGCTAGGCTCTGCTTTCGGATCGGCTCTGTTCGCTGTGCATTCGCTGGCGCTTCTTGTGAGATGCGGACGGTACCAATCGTAAGTGCGTAGGCGATCATGTCCAATCCTGAGCTGTAGAAATTCGCCTGGACGCGCGGGCAGAACTCAGTAGCGTAGAATGGACTAAGTAGATTGCATCCAAGTCCCGATGGAATGAAAGGCATCCCGAGTGTGTCATTGCAAGCTCTGATCAGAGTTGTATAGGCCATCACGCCCAGAAATTGCGTGTGAGCCAGCAGATTGGTCGACCGTTTCCATGCGAGTCCCATGAAAGCGCTAGTTTCTCAGAAAGCCCTACTCGCGTATTTCGGAGTCTCCATGATGCCAGGTAGGATTCTAAAGGACTGGTGGTGATAGTTTGGACGCCCATTGTGGAAAGGTATACGAAGTCCTCTCGTTCAATGTGTTGGTCGAAGATGTCCTCCAGCAGTGCAAAGAAGAAGAACTCCTGGAGCTCTCCAAGGAGCTCTACGAAGGAACCAATACGAGACAGCTTTGATCCCTGAAACAGCCTTGGTCCTAATAGAAGATCACGTGCGGAAGGCTCAGGGAGTCCCTCACGAAACCGATCCTCGAGACTCTGAAACTCCTCTTGCAGCCAAAGGCTAACATTGTTTCGGTCGAGGGGCGCTTTGTTCTCGCCGTTTTCGCAGCCGACGATTGTTTTGAGACGACCCGTTGCTGGGAAGAAAGGAACCTTGAAGGGTGCCTCAACATCGGAAGGTAGGAGGTGCTCCATCTAGAGTCGCGGCGAGGCTGCGGCTTTAATCTATTTATGGGAATGGACCACGCAGCGCGTGGCGAAAACTGTAGACAGGTGTCGTAAGGTAGCTACCTTATCTTACCTAACATGTGTGGGTACCTAGGTAGTCAGGGGCTACAATCTTATGAGTAGTCTTGCAAAAGGGCATCATAAAGAACGATATACAGCGCAAGGTTGATAGTCCTCAGCCGTCTCGCATCCGCAAGGCTGAGGACACCCCGTGACAAGGCTGAGTGTGATGAGGCTGAGCGACGTGGTCGTTCCGGGTGCGGCATTGTAGATGGTCGACAAGGTAAGGTAACTACGTGTACACCAAGGACGTACACCTATGACTAAATTGATACATGTATACATGTAGGTACCATAGCCACAGGTACTAGGGGGACTGATAGAAATTGTCGCTCCCGGCGGGGGAACTTGTTGCTGCCAGTGCCCTCAGATATATAAAGTAAACCCTGTAAATCGATGATGTTCCCCCAGCTTCCGTATCATCTTCACACTTCTAAACTCTAGCACGCCACACCGGCACAGAGCTGATTGTTACGTACGGTTACATACATGTAAGTTATGCAGCAGCGGTTGTGTTATGCTCCAAGGCTTGAAATCCGTTCGGCTTTCATGGACCGCCGCTAGCGAGGTGGCTCCCCTCAGCCCAACGCCTGTTCCAGCGTCACCATTGTTTCCTAAGACTCCAACCCACAGCATACCTACTGCAGACCACCAGCACTGATGTATTCTTGCGAGTCTGTACGCACTTATTACGAGTGCGAGCCCAACTAGGCTATCATAACGCTTCTTGAATTTTCTACGTGACAATTGAACAACTAAGGTAGACAATTTGAATCGTTCAACGCTTCCAGTTGCCACCAAACAGCGCCATTTCCCCACCTGCAAGCTCTCGCTCAAAGGCCATGCGCCTCTATGCCATCTCCGACATTCATTTGTCCTACAAACACAACCGCGAAGCCTTCGACAAGCTCTCACCGCACCCAAACGACGGCCTAATCCTCGCAGGCGACATCGGCGAATCGCTCGACCACCTCCGCGAAGCCTTCGTCAAAGCCACCGACTGCTTCGCGCACGTCTTCTGGGTGCCCGGAAACCACGAGCTCTACACCCTCCGCACGGGGGACCACCAGCACCTGACCGGCGAGTCCAAATACAACGCCTGCGTGCTCATCGCGCGCGAATACGGCGTCTGGACGCCGGAGGATGACTTCATGACGTGGGAAGGCGAGGGCGGGCCCGCTGTCATCGCGCCCACGTTCACGCTGTACGACTACAGTTTCCGTCCGGACCATGTGACGAGGGAGGGCGCGCTGGACTGGGCGATGGAGGAGGGCATCCGGGCGACGGATGAGGAGCTCTTGCACTTCGATCCGTACGAGTCGCGGGATGCGTGGTGTCATCGGCTCGTGACGCGGACCGAGGAGAGGCTGCAAAAGGCGGCGCTGACGGGGCTACCACTTGTCATTATCAATCACTGGCCGCTGATGGAGGAGCTCGTGTATATCCCTGCCGTGCCCCGGTTCAGTATCTGGTGCGGCACGAAGCAGACGGTGGACTGGCATAGCCGGTTCAAGGCCAAAGTCGTGGTTACGGGGCATTTGCATGTGAGGAGGACGGATTGGATAGATGGTGTTAGATTTGAAGAGGTGTCTCTGGGCTATCCCAAGCAGTGGAAGGATGCTCAAGAAGCTGGGCAGGATGTTAATACCCTTCTGAGGGACATCTTACCCGGTCCAGAGCCGCCAGAAGGAGGCAAAGCACCGACTCACTGGCGGAAAGATGGTTGATGATGCCACGACGCTGACGGCCCTCCAATGAACCATTAATGCCGTTTATGACTTGCCTATCAATACAGCACATCTTTCCTGCATATACGTGATCTCTCAAGCTTTATTTCACATGTAATGCTTCTGCTAGATACCCGCGTGCCGGGATAGAAGCAAAAAGTGGTCGAGCAATTTGGTGACCAGTGGAATACCCGAGAAGATGCAAACTTGATAGTAATCCCCAACAACGCTCCAGTCCCATTCCTCACTGCTTTATATCATTTCATTCAGTCTGGTCTTTAGCCAAAATGAAGCCTCCCCCAAGATCCGGGGCGCCGACAAAAAAAGACAAAAAGGACGGGCCGAACCGGGATTTGAACCCGGGACCTGCCACATTTCGATCCCGACATTTATTGTCAGGGAGACTTTCGTCCCGAAGCGGCAATCATACGACTAGACCATCCGGCCTGATTTCGGAACAAAAGCAACGGTAATGAAATCATGTTGCTTAGATGAAAGACGGAAGACGGGGCGCGAGGGGGAGTATTGCGAATTCGGAGGTCATACACACCTTACGTTACCTTATTCTTGTTCACTATTTGTAATAGAATTGGCCGAATATTGGCATATAGCAATGATTTGACTGATACTCAAAGTAGTTATGATGTCCGTTGCCGAATATGTCGAGCATAGCTAACGGTCTTACCTAGCCAAAGTCCGGAGTCAAAACTCGGTCAAGTCTCACTTAATGAAACCTCGCTTCCATACCTGTATCTTGTTACGATGATAGGGTACGCACTTAAATCAGCATCCATAAACCAGAGAAGCTGAGTGATTAGAATCAGGAAAATGGCTTAGAGCCATCCCCAGCCTTTTTCGCATCTTACGCTAAGAGTGTATCATACATTTGCAGAAGGAAGCCGAGTGATCCTCTCCTTTGTCGCGCCCAATTACCCTACCATTCCCGTTCCAGGGCTCAAATGTTTCCTTCCCTTCCATTTACCATTGTTCAAAGACCAAGAGGACGCCACTCATTAAATCATACACTCGTATCCCTTCGTCCTTGCGTACTTTCTCGTCCACCTCGCGTGCCCGACGCTTGTGGGTGGACTTGATCTGAGGATTGCAATTGAAGACAAGGCCAGCCATTCTGCAAGAAGTAAATGCAGGCTGAACACATCATGAAGCACTACTCCTGTTCCCCGCAGAGCCGCTCCTGTACCCGTCTCTTTTATCGAAGCCAGGATCGCCGAAGCCATAGTCACGACCACCGCCCTCGGCCGTTCCTATGGAATAGTTGGACGGTTTCATGATGCCGTCAACAGCGCCGGGCCCGGAATCTGTGCGCGCTGCACTGCCGGGACTATGTTGCTCCGCATCACTCTCCCAAATGGGCAACCCATCGGCTGGCAAACTCTCTCCGTAGGGTTTGCCTTTACTGTAGTTGTGCAAGGCACCGTTAATGCCCGTGAGAGCCCATGCGAAGATGGCTTGCTCCCTGATGGCGCTCATGAAGTCGTTCTGATCTGGTCCGCCAGCACGTACCGCGGGAGCTTGTGCGGCTTGCGGTCCCAGAGAAGGAGCAAAGCCTGTCGAGTAGCCGCGTTGTGCTCTCGATTCGATTGGGGGCACGATCGGTTGAGCTGCCCAGGGCGCTGCGAAGAGCCCGCGGGAGTATACTGGCTGAGAAGGTCTGTGTGTCGGGTGAGGAAGCAAAGGACGGGCCCTCCTGAGACATACAACCAGTCCATCTGAAGTGCAAGAAATAACGGCTTCAAGCTCCAATGACTCCCTCGGTTGCTCGTCAGCTGGCGTGATTGGTAACGACGAAGCAGACGATTCCGCGTCGCGCGCATTTCCGAATATAGCTTTGTGAGTGCTTTGTGGGTGGGTACTGTCCCCAGAAGATGTTCTCGACTTGTGTCCCTGGTCCACGTCCATCTCTGCACCGGACTGTGCTGCATTCGACTCGCTTCGTGAAGAGGTGTCATGCCCACTGTGTCCCTCCAGATGCACGCCGCCTTCAATATCCTGATCCACACTCGATTCTGTAGTCATCTCTTCATCGCTATCGTCCGTTGTATCTGTAGCAGAGTGCGTGTCGTCTGTCCGGGGATCCCGAAACCAGAACCGCAGATATGCTATCGAGTCGTTGCCCTTCGCGTTCTCCAAGCACTTGACCGCATCAGTGAGACAGTTCTCCTCTATGCAATAATAGAAGCTTCGTCCTCGCATCATTTCCGCAGGTATACCAATGATATCCTCGATTCCGCTGGTGGCGTACATGATGGTCAGGGTTCGTGTAAAGCGATTGAGGAATAGTGCTGCTCGTGGCTCATGCTCGAATGGCTTGGTTGTCATCTGAAACTTGGTTGAAATGTGTGACAGCATGTGATAGCGAGGATCCTTGGGTGAGTTCGAAAAGATCCGTCGTATTACTGGTGCCTCCAACGCTCGCTCTGCAAGACGGATTAGCCATAATCGCAGGCCAACATGTTCCGCACTCCTTACTCTGACTTGGAAGGCCCTGTCGGTATATGCTCGTACAGACGACCATTACGTCGTAAACCACGGTGAAACAGCACTCGCAGCCAATCCAGTCTCCTTCCTTATTCTTTACGCGACAGTATGCTAGGACGGCCGCCCTGTCCATGTCAAGGCCGCGCTTGTGGTATTCTTTTGCGAATGGGACCTCTTCTGCGGGGAAGAAGTCCCAACAAGAACGATTAACAACTTCATCTGGAGTGTAACCTAATACGTCGACAATCGAATCCGAAGTGTAGAGAATGCGGGCATCTCCTGTGAGGTCTGCACATGGGTGTGGTCAGCAACGGTGTAATGACCTTCAGCGGAGAGGTCACTGGCGTACCATGAATGGAGATGAAAGTCAAATCCATGGCGAAGGACGACTTGTAAAGATATTGGGTTAAGCAGGTAAAGGTTGCCGAACGTCTTCAGCTCGCAACGAGAACTACCTGAACTCCGCAAGCAATGAGCAGTAAGGCGATACCATAAGGTGATGTCCGCTGGAGTGGTCCAGAAGGTGTCGAAACTCAAAGCGCGCCGTCGGCCTTTACGGTAGTTCTGTTCGGGAAAGGAAATAACGAGCCGGGGTGAACCCAAGATCTTTCGACTGGTGTTTAAGATTCAAGACGGAAAGTAGTTTCAGGGTAAAGCCCGTTGCCACGCTTTTCTGCAGCACGCGAGTGGTTCCTGTCGAGTGGCGAAGGGTCCGAAAAGGTACGTCGTAACGGGGCGGGTAGTGAGCAGTCGTTTTAAGGATCGCCAGTCGAAAGAGGCGAAACCAGAATGAGGCACTGGGCTAGAGACGTGGGCTACGTGCCGCGAGGTAAAGAGTATGAATTGGTAGACGAACGTATGGGCGCACAAGACAATGGATGACGGTCAGCTGGCGTGTGGAGATAGTGGAAAAGTGATAATCGGAAGAGTTGAGGATGGTCCCGTTCGGTTCGAGTGGAGGTCGACTTCGCTATGACATCAGACCGAGAATGCTCGGATGGCAGCCCTGGAGGCCTCGGTGCAGGTGGCAGGCAGCTTCCAGATGAATTAATTGCCAAGCAACGACTCAGTGTGTAGTGTCGCGGCATGCACAAGGGCAGGAACAGTAGTGGTCGTAAAGGTTACAGTATGTAGTGAACAAATGGAGGCGTGCATGACGAATTGACGATCTTCACGCTCCAACTCTGACCGCACCGCGTTTTCAATAATATTGCGCTAAAGGCGCCTCGCTCCATTTCGAGCACCCTTGTACTTGAGGCGCCTACGGTATGTAAGGCTTGTAAGCCTATCCGAACCTCGAGGTCGCTAATCCTTGCCCACTGACGTTCCTGATCCTCACCTCTGCATCGATGTCTGCGCCTGTTGTCCGCTCTATCCGCGGCAAACAAGCCGAGACAGGTGGGTTGCTGGCCACAATCTTATACGTGTAACTTATTCGACGCCTAGCATGATGAGATGTTAGGTAGAAACGCTGCTTTGCGTACATGTATACGTGTGCACGTTCTGGCGCAGGCGTCGGTTATAGCCAGCACTATAAGCGAATAGTCATACTTTTGTTAGGGCCATGCAGGCGCGATTCAGTCGCACTTCTCAATTGCATTCTCCGTCTTTCAGAGTGCCCAAGTACATGTATGGATTAAGTCGATCTGCCGTTCCCTCAGCCAGCGCCGATAAGGAACATCCAACACCGCTTCCATCCCTTCCAGCTTTGGTTGGCGGCTTAAAGCCGTTTCTGACGTGCAGAACACTCGTGCAGCTTCTCCCCCATGTTGTGATCCCAGCACTGCGATCGTCCCCCGTCTCCCCGGATCCTTTGGTTTACATACAGCAGCAACGCCCGCAAAACACGCCGCACCCATCATCATCGTCGATCATCCGCAGAGGCGCAAGTCGTATCACTGCGGCTCCTGCATGTGCATGCCGACACTGCCTGATCCTAACCTAATTCTTATTCCCCACCTCGCGCATCACGTCTAGACCCTACCTTACAGTATACGACAGTTGGACGTCAGACCACCGAGCAACATCCTCATTGGTCCTTGAGCCCATGGCAGTTGTTCTCTAGCGAGGCACCCCTTCGAAGCACCTTGTCATATGCATTCTCCAGCGGACCTCCCATATTTGCGCACATCCACCAGACTTGGGGTACGTCTCGCACTGTGGCGCAACCATGACCCTTGGCATCAGTAAGGCTGGCTGACCGTGAACGCATAGGGTAAAGATGCAAACAGCACCAGTAAGCTCTTCGCCCGATTTCGCAAGAACGTGCTACTAAACCATTACAAGACGCGATATACGACGTCAAATTCTATCCTTACACAGACCCTGACCAAGATGCCGTCTTTGCAGCGGTAACGGCCCGCGATGTAAGACCGCCCCCTGCGCTCCTTCCTGATACGGACGAAATCACTAAATCCGTGGCCAGGCTTTCGTCTGCCGTCCCACTTCCAAACCAGAACAACCTTACGAAGTACTACGCTGGTTCAGAGACGCTCATGTACGTGACTCCAAATCTGCCGTAGCGCGGCGCTCCTGCTTCCATGCCTACGTAGTGACTGACCAAGCCGCCAGAAAGAAGCGTCACTGAACAGTCTTGCCTGGTCCCAAGATCCCGTTACCGCCGACCCTCTGCTCTGTGTCGCAGGTGACAAATCCTCCAAGATCAAGATACTGAACGTCAAGACTGGTGAAGTCAGAGTGTGTATTCCGACATGTGAAGAGCGTCCCTTGCAGTGGCTCTGGGCTAACGGGATGTGGTAATGAAAGGTCATCAGGGGTCATGGGGCGGTGAGTGTCTAATGGCTCTGCTCATGGAGCTCTACTGAACCGCTGGAATAGGCAATCAACGACCTCGTGGTCTCCCCTCTATCACCGACAATCCTCGCGTCATGTTCCGCCGACTACAGTATTCGTCTCTGGAACCTGGATCCCAAGTATGAGAAACAGCC